CTCGTTCAACTACATCAGGCGATCAATATCGAAGACCAGAGTATTTTGCGCAGCGTAACACGCACCAAGTTGTCGGGCAGACTGCTCAGGACGTTCTCCAGGCTCTTGATAATTGCGGTCTTGCCGTCCTCGCCCTCTCCAGGAGTCCTGTCGAATTGGAATGCTCGAGCCAAGATGAGGAGTACACCAGAGACCCTGTTGTGCAGATGAAGCCTGATCCATGTTGCCAATTCCTCCCTCAGACGCGCCGGGCTGATGCCCCCAGTCCTGATACCCCGGCTTTGGCACGCAGCTTGAAGCTCGCTAGTGCTGAGCTCGTCGATTCCCTCTCCTTCAATGAGCTGGTCATCTCGGCGGATGGCAGTGAGTCTGGAGCGAATAGTACTACGAAGGAAGTTGTCCGTGCCGAAAGCGTTGATGCCCATGTACCTGCACATTGATACCAACTGAGGTCTAGAAAGGTTGTCCAAGGTAAGGTCGTCATCGAAGAGCCGTGCGACATTGATGATATCCTGTGACGTAGGAGATTCGCCAGTGATGCGGACCTTCCGGAAGAACTCTTTGAATGCGTCGCTGCCGACAATGTGCGCATTTGCCTGCAAGCCAGACTCTCGCATTGTCTCCTGGAGGAACTTGGCCATCTCCAAGCGCACGCGTAGGAGCTTCCGCTGCTTCTCCTCCTGATATACGCCGTAAATAAATGGCTCAGAAAACGGACTGCAATACGCACCGCCGCAAACTTATCCTCGAATGTCGACGGAAGCATGTTCGGGAACAACTTGAGCGCAACAGGTAGGAGTAGCTCCATGAAAGGCACGATGATGAAGACCGCGAACGGAACGAGACGAAGCAAGTCTTGCGTTGTGCGTCTCAACTGGAACCATGTGTTGAGGTTAAGTATGCAATCCCCGCGTGACATGATAATTGACCCACTTGTCTCCGTTCTCTCCTCGTCAGGCTCTCGCCGTGAAGCAATTTCCACTGCAACCGCCCAGAGATTCTTACCTCTGAGACCAAGAGTTTCGTACCGTGCCAATAGTGCTGAGCTTCATGCTTGACTTTCTTCCAGACGCGAGTGGCCAGCGGAGCTTGAGCAGTCGATATTTCCTTTGGTGCGGGAGGTGGCGGAGGAGTCTTGGGCTCGGCAGTTGGTCCTTCGTGTGGGATAGACGTCGATGGTTGTTGAGATGACCTCGCGGAGGTAGTCGCGTTCTGGGGCTCGGAAGAGGGTGACGAGGTATTAAGGGCGCGGAATACGACAAAGCGAGGGATTGCGTGTGCTTGAGATAGTATAACGGCCTGGCTCTGCCGAGCAACTACAACATGCCTAGCGAGGAGGGTCGGCGAGCGGCGGGGAAGCCATATGGACATTCCAGCGAAGAATGTCTAAAACTATTAACTGGATACGATGTGAGGGGGTGTATAGAGCTCGTAGGAAGACGGACGAACACTCAGTCAGAGCCAGGGCATCCAATGACGGAGGGGGTCGGCAAGATTTTGGTGCACGGTTAGGCGCGGCGAAGGAAGTCATGAAGAGGGCGCTACATTTACTGATCATTCGCATCAATGACTGCACTGTTATAGATAAGAAAGAAGTAAGTAAAGTACTTACTCGCGCCGCTTCGGCGCGCGTAGCTTTCGGTCTGTGGCCCCGGCCCTTGCACCCGACCTTGTCATTAAGCACTAGTGTCTCGCAAATGAAATGGCGTTACCACCAAATTTCTGCTCTCCAGCACGATGACGAGATCTGGTGTGTCATTGGTGTACTCATACTCACATAGCTCCGCACCCGCTTCAAGCAACCCCTTGTATTACCTGAATTGATGGTGTGCAAAGTATGTACCGAGGTTGCGACCAGATTTCCACTGTACACTCACATACCTCCAGATTTACTATAGAAGACTGACCGTTCTGTCACTATGCATTATCTCTGCCCAATATCTTTGGTCAATCTCGCATCTCAGCCATCCCGGTGGAAAGCTTGATGATCCTAGTCTCCCAGAGGCAGAGCGCGGACAGCTTCGCTGTCTAGGTGACCCCACAAGGCCTCAAGGATTCACCTGCAATCTGCTTATGCTTCACGTATGCCTGCGACCAAACATGTGGCCCGTGCCTTGTTGACACGGTACGTTATGATGCAGTTGCCCTGCAAACTTTATCCTCAATGCGTACGCTAATACACGAGTCTCGCCGATTAGCACCACTATCTTGACTCACACCTATGTAACTCTCATGATCAGCTGCTTCCAAGCTTTCACGATGCATCTGGATCAAAACACGAGGCAACAGGACATACTCGCTCGGTTCCTGTCTTTCGCCAAGTGCAAAAGCGTGCCGTCGTATCGACTGCGCTCACTGGCAAAGCTGGGCTACATCCATCGATACTCCATCCACTTATCGAGTAAACACTTCGGGTAAGTATCAAGCGAAAATCTGGGCCATTTATCCTCTCAAGTTCTGGCTCATGTCTCCATAATCTGCATCGCGTGCAAGCCGATTATTCACGTGCTGTGCCGCTAGTGAATGTCAGGCAGGTAAGCCTCAAGCGATGAATGGGAACAACATGTTAACTTTACCAAGGCTATCATCTTCAGTGCATGGTATCACTCTTCGCAATCAACTTCTCCCTCCCGCGTTTTGCCACGGTTCGATCACTGTACGCCGGGTTTTCTAGCCATGTCCACTCTACATGACTCTGTTCTCCTCGTGTCTCCATCTTTTAGATTGAGTTGACCCACGTTGCGCCGATATGTCTTTACTCGTGACCTCGGCCGCTCTGGCTCCGTACAGCGGCGAGGCAATACACCCTGGCGCGTTTACGTCCCTGGCCCACCAACGGCCATCAATAACAGTCCTAGGGAGTCCAGGTTGGCAAGATGGTCGGCGCCCGGGCTCTCAGGGTCCCCTCCGAGCTCTGAGGATGCGCTGATACTTCACTATGGCATAAAGACACAGCACGCGCTGAAGGCATGCCTCAAGGCCCCCTCAATCCGAAATCGAGTTGTCTTCGTGGTATTTTATGGTGGAACATGATGTGAGGTCGGCTGAGACCTTGCTCTTTCCGCGCCCTCTGTCAGTGCTCTCACTTTCCTGAATCGCCTTAAAGTTTATACCAGGACTCCCAAAGTTCATACATCATCTAGCATGAGTTCATCGGTGCCGCCACCGCTCCTCTCATTTGTAGATCGAGTAGGCTACTCAGAGTAAGCCCTTCTTGTTGCTCGCATATACGCCACAAATGAATGAAGCCTTGATAGTTACGTGGGGACAGTGTCTTCAGGTTTGACCCGCCAGTAATGTGCCATTGCATGAGTTCTCACGCTATACCTATACGATCAGCACTCGTTACCTATGAATTTATCATAACCTTTGGACAAGAGGTGTCTACTATCTGGAAAAGAAAACTCACCTGGACCTCTATGCTACTGCTCACCACACGATGGGCAACACTCGCATATTCCATTTTACAGCTACTCCAACCACGCAGTTTTCAGGTGAGATACTACTATCCATGCTGGCTTCCAGCAAAATTGAGCTAATATGATACGTGTAGCGGTTTGTCACTCAAAGACTACATGATGGTGCTGGCGTATTTAACCAAGCATCTCGAACAGCTGCCAGCGACTACAGCTGTCTTTGGCCATCCTGACCTATGTCATTTGGGCTCAAGCCGCCTGTACGTCGCGTCGGCGTAGCTCATCACTTTGACTGACTATCTTCGCACGGCGTCCAGTATTCTCCGCGCTTCGAGTCTACGCCATGTGGAGCCAAAGTAAAACTCTTTTTGCCATCGTCTTTCTCATCGGTATAATTCCGATCGTAGCTGACCTGGTAAGATTCGACTGTCCGTGTGTACCAAGCTCAGAAATTGATATCCATTAATAGGCTCGCCTTAGCCGTGCCAACAATATTTTCGCCGGTCCTCCATTCGACCTCTGTATCTCGAGCTCGATGATGTCTAACCGTACCTTAAATGCGTGCGTGATGTCTTACGACCTTTCGAACCCCTACTAACTCCCTCTCTATCAGCCGTAAGTCTAGGGTGTCTCACAGCTAACTCCGGGATAAACTCACCGTGACATGGTATCCTTCTAGTTGAAACTTTGACTCGAAGCTCTGCGATAGCAGGCGACGTACTTGTCCTTGTACTGACATGGATACGTACATATGGTCAGATGACAGAGATTATGCATTTCGGTCAAACGTGGCCTCTGTCTGCGCGTCTCATTCGCGATGGTGAGCGATCATTGTAGCTGATGTGTGGTCACAAAAGGTGGCTAACACCGTGGAATTCTGGTCTAGGGAGCATGTATTTTGCGTGAGCCTCCTTCGGTTATGCGACTCGACGAATTTGAGTTGACATCCTTTTTACTTAGTATTGAGCTGATCGTGAATATCATTGCCATCCCAATGTTTCACGCAGTGAGTGAAAATCTGAATATTAATCTTCCTAAACTCGTCTAAGGTTATTGTTTAGTCCGTAGCAGTAGCTGAAGGGCTACAGCCGACAAACCATCTGATCGTCGTCGTAGTATGCATTGATTGTGGTGATCCCAGCTTGAAGGCTAACACTCTGATACTACAGCCCGCTGTCTTGAACTGCCGCTTCATGCTCAGCCTCCGTCAACCTACACAGACGACCGAGCACAATGCTCCCTTCAACACCTCAGCCAACAACCATCTCACACGCTTTCTTAACCTCGAAATTCTCCGCACACTAGCTATCACTGAGCTCGGGAACATCGGGGAGCCTGTTACCAATGGGCCGGGTCTGTTGAAAGACAGCACGGAGGGACTACTCCTTGGCGAGGACACAGGTGACTTGAGGGTTCGCCATGAGGCTGCCGATGATACGGAGTCGTCAGTTCGCCTGTCGACCGTGGCTCTGTCAATGTCATCAGAGGCTTCTGCGGCATGTCATGTATTCGTCTAATGGTTGACTTGTCAGGATCGTAATTGTCTAAACAAATATAATGTCATCATAGCGCCGCATATGTATTCCCGGGATAGCTCAGCTGGCAGAGCACCAGACTCTTTTCGTTCTGCAGGTCCCGTGTTCAATCCACGGTCCTGGAATTAGTTTTTTTTTTTTTCATTTCAGCATAGAGCATCTGATTCATTGGTTCGATGCTCCCTTCGTACCTCCTTTCAGTCAGGCTTCCACTGTGCTATTGATTCGGAACCTTCATAATCACACAGTAAACAGTACAAACTGTTTCAAAACCGGCTGGTTATAGACAGTTAGCGCCCGAGCATGGGAGCGCTGAACAAACAAAATAGCTTTCGACGTCAGGCTACGGAGATACTTACACTGGTTCAGTGCGAATTCAAAATTTAGACCTAGTAGAACAGCCTCAGCATTGTAAGCAGTAATATTGAAATCACTGTCTATAAATTGTTTCCACGAGTCGCTGTAATACTTAGTTATAGCAGTAAATTCACTGGACACTGCTGGCTAGACAGGCCTTACTTTTTATAATGTAGCGTCGTACCCCTGCATCCCCCGCAAGTCGTGCTTGTTCTCTGGCCTTTTGGCCAATCGCAAGGAGAGGAGTACATATCAGGCGCAGGCCGCTCTCCATCAATAAACTGTCCCGCTCTCTTCCAATGGGCTCCTACCAATACGCGTCAATCAGGTTTCCATCCAGCCTTCCTCAGACATCCGAGTCGCAATGGCAAATAATCCCGGGGACGATGGCCGCGTACGACAGTCTCTGCATCACCGCGTACAGGCAGGAGAAACATGAACGGGACTTCGAGGCGTCGCGCAGACTCTGATCCCAACCTTAGCTTCGCCAAAACCTTCCGTCTCGCGAAGGCAAGCTTTGGGCGCAAGTCTTCGGGCGCTGCGCCGCCCCCGGGCGCGAGCGAGGCGAAGAGCCGGCACGGGGAGTTCGTGTACAGCCAGGGCTCGAAGCTGCACTCGTTCACGCAGGAGGAGGCCCCGTGGCCGTTTGCGTACAACCGCGAGGTGCTCGAGCTGTGAGTGCGCACGGCAGAGAGATGGGGTGCAAGCTGATGGCAGCTCGTCGCAGGTGCGGGCTGGACCACAGTCTCGTTATATGGGGCAAAGGTAATCAGATATTCTCCGACTTCCAAGGTGCGTCCCCGAAGAGATGCCTCGACCTGGGCACGGCGGTATGTTTTCTTTCCTATCTCTGCGGCTCGGTGGATCGGGGCTTGACGGCATTGTGGCAATGCAGATGGGCGATTGGGTCGTGGACACGGCTCGACATCTGCCGGATTGCACCTTCGTAAGTACCGTTCTCTGATCGCGCAAAGCCTCCGCAACTCACTTCATCCATCCACTAGGTCGGCTTCGATCTCGTCGACATCCAGATCCCTCTCCAGTACATACCACCAGAACTCGCCGACAGGATCGAATGGGTCCACGGAAATTTGTGAGCACTGCCCTAGCCCCGTGCTCGTTGCCACAGCTTAACAGCATGTTCAGCCTGGAGTGTCCTCTGCCCTTCAGAGACAATGAATTTGACCTCATCCACGCGGAGGGGATAGCACTGGGAGTGCCTGAGAATAAGGTGAGGAAGCAGTATCATTGGAGCCTGAATACAACTGAATACGCTCGTCATACAGTGGGATCAACTCTTTGGGGTGAGCATCTTACGCAATAAGCGTCTGACCGACCCTGACGTTGCCGCAGGAACTCAATAGGATACTTGTCCCTGGAGGACGTATAGAACTCTTGCAACAAGGTAGATATCTCTTTGTCACTTGTGGGATAGACTATACACCAACTCGTCCAAGATGCAAGGTTCCCTGTTCTCCCTCGATGGTTCACGGAGCCGTTGCATGCACATCTGCAGCACTTTCCAGCCGGCCCTCCTGACGATTCGCGGTCCCCGTACTTGGCCTCTCCGGTGTCAGAGGAGCTTCCTCACGCCTACGTGCTTCTCGAAGAGTTGTACTTCTCCATCTTTGAAAGCCGTTCAATAAATCCCACACCAACATGTAAGGATTCAATAGGATGCCTCCGGGGTTCTTCATTAATTTATGTATCAAGCGATACTCCCTGCGAACTTCAACACGGCCTTCCGCCACGTTTTGTCCCCGCCGATCCTACATTTTCCGTCGCCTCCCCTCGCTCCTCTGGCGCCATTCCCGAAATGTACCACTCCGTCATCTTTTCCCACCGAAACGAGTTCGAACCCAAACGACATCGGCCAATACTTTGTCCCCTCTGCCGCCAACGCTGACTTTGTGCATCCGCCCTCCCCGCTCAGCATCACCACCAAGCTCTCCCAAGTCGCACAAAGCGTGCCCGCCTCGCCGACGGCCCTCTCTCCGCCCGGGAGCCAGTCGACGCCGACCTCGCCACGCCTGCAGCGCGCGTCGTCGATCGTGTCGCTCGATCTCGCCACGCGCTCGCGCAGCCCGTCGTCCTCCGCGCGGGCGACGCCGGCGACCAGCCGTTCACCGAGCGTCGGCCGCTCGGCCGCGGTGCTCAACACGGCCAACACGACGCGCATCGGCGGCGAGGACACCGCGGACCTGTTCAAAATAGACCGCCTCATGATGCTCGGGAACGAGACGCTGTTCATGCACCTGTACATCGCTGTCGGTAAGGTCCTTGGCGCGCGCGAGGCGATGTGGGGGGAGCTCGTGAAGCGGGTCGAGGCGCGGGATGCGGCGCTCGCGAGGTACGGCTGGGGCGCGGAGGATTACGAGCTGCAGCAGAGCAGGGCGAAGTTTGACGCGCTTGTGCGTCAGTATGAGCGGTGCGTGTCCGTGAGCGTTGGATGCTTCTGTGTGCTGATGTCTGTCAGGGATATGCATGTTCGTCTGTCCCTTTGGAACTCCCTCGTCAAGAGCGGCTGGACGTACCCGCGACGAGGGCAGATGACAGACGCAGAATTGCACCAAGAAGAGGACCTTCGACGCGCCATTATTGAAGCACGTAAGAATGCACGGGAAGAAGACTTTTCGACACCCTCGAGGTCGATCAGGCTGCTCATCGGCGTGAAGGGCACGTAAAAGATTGCTGGAAAATCAAGGACTTTTAAAGGCACCATATAACAGTCGAAAATTATACGGTTGTGATATACATGACGTGATATATAAGTATTACTATGTGTATAACCCGGACCCTGGACTTACGAGAAACACACTACTTGTCCTTGTATACCTATCTATTCTCTCACCGGCTCGTCCATTAACATCTGCACAAACCTCTGGCCGAGACCTCTGGCAGCCATGGGATTCGACCCCGTAATGAGCTCTCGGTCGACCGTGATGCTGCCTACCATCTGTCCCATGCCGGTGACCATCTCCACATCTGCGCTGGCGAGCGTCGACTCGACTGTTGTCGGGATCGTACCGTCCTTCATCATCTCGACGAATCCCTCCTCCGCATCCGACGACGACGTGATGCGGTAGCCCTCGTAGGCAAAGCCTGCTGAGCCCGGTGCATATTTTGTCGAGAGTAGCGCGAAGGGACCGTGGCAGAGTGACGCTATGTTCGCGCCCGTCAGCTATACTTTCGCGTTCGTCGCAGAGAAATGGCGCACCTGTCGGCTTATCGTTCTGGTGGAAATGCCACAGGATCCTGCCCAAATCTGGGTTGTCCCCCAGGTCGGTTAACGGGGCGTGTCCACCAGGAATGAAGATGCCAGAAAAAGTCGCCAGCTCTTCCTCGGTGAGGCTCGCGAGAGGACGAGGGTCGTCGAAGTCGTTATCAGCCTTAATCTCTGCGATGAGCTTCTGGTCACGGTGTTTTGCAAACCAGTTGCCGAGGTATGCCCCGAAGGTGGACTGCGAAGATGGGTCGATAGTTGGGCCTTTGCCTTGTGGTGAGGCAAACTAGCAACTCGGTCAACTACATGGAAAATTGCATGGAACCAAAGACTTACTGTTACAGAGTATCCGGCGGCCAATAGTTTGGCAAGGGGCTTTGTGAGCTCCTGCATAAAAATGCCAGTATCCTCCTCGGACGTCGTGCCGTCCTTGTGCTGGAGGGTAAAGGACGCAGCGTCCGAGACGACAATCAAGACTTTTCCTGTGATAGACATGGGAGGTATTGGCGAAGAGGTTCAGATTTCTGACCTACCAGACAAGTCTCGTCGAGTTATATACGCTGAAGAGTCGGAGCTGCGGCTACATTGCTTCTCTAGACCAAGGTCTCAAGGTCGCACGATGTGGAGCCGGCTGTTTGTAAGACTGACGTATTACTCTCACCCCTGGGCTGTTTTTCCAAAGATACGGTGGACGGTTCGGTACAGCGCCATAGGCAGATGGTTCACGAGGACCGTGGCGGTCGACGAAAGAGAGGCGTGACGGTACTGCGCCGCTTCGTCACGAAGCGTCACCGCTCGTCACTGTCACGTCGTCATTGAGAGCAGTCTGACCGTAGCTCTTTCCGAAAACATACCAGCAAAATGAACGCTCCTGTCCAAGACACAATCATGCTACTAGGCGACTCCTTGACACAAGGAGCTTCCGTGCCGTACGGGTTCGCACAGCGGCTGTCCTGTACGTGACCGACTGTTGGCTCCAAATCCATAGCTCGCTAAATATTGCAGACGTGTACAACAGAAAACTCGACGTGGTCAACCGTGGGTTTAGTGGCTATAACACTGAATGGAGTCTGCCTGTCTTCCGTCAAGTGCGTTCGAGTCACATCTCCCCGAACGCTGTCTGATCAGCCCCAAAGTGCCTTGCAAAGCGCACCGGCAGTGACGCGGATCTGCAGTTTCCCAAAGTACAGCTGCTCACCATCTGGTTTGGCGCAAACGACGCCTGTATCCCGCCTTCGCCTCAGCACGTCCCTCTGTCCCGTTTCACAGAGCTCGTGACTGAGATTGTGCGCACGATCAAGTCGCCGACCTCTCCGTACCATGCACCGTGGACTCGCATCATCATTCTCACCGCGCCGCCCGTGAATACGTACCAGCGCGGCGCAGACCTTGCAGCGCGGGACCCCCCGCGTGCGCTCGACAGGTTGTTCGAGGTCACGAAGCAGTACGCCGTCGCGGCGCGGGAGGTAGGCGAGACGGAGGGTGTGCCGGTCGTAGACGTGTGGACGATGTTATGGGAGGCGTGTGGAAAGGAGGAGCGCAAAT